CCATTTTGTGTGGCATTTGTTTTATTCATAACCCTTGCGCTGGTGTCCACCTTTTTGGCTTTTGTAGGGACGACAATGAGCTTGCCGTCCCTTGCCGCTCCATCGCCGCTGCGATTGCTATGGACGGCTGTTCCAGTCAATCTCACAGACACCGATGCCGGCAGCAGAAGGGAAATGGTGTGTGCCCTCGGTATTTTGGAAAGCTCACCCGTTGGCGTGTTACGCTTCACCGCTGTACTTAGCTTTATTGCTGGCATCATGTTTTTTGCGTGGGTGCCATACTGTGTTTTGCATGTGAGCAGCATGCTTGCCCACTTGAATCCTGTGACGGAGCCTGAGGAACGTCAGGAACTTGCTGCGATGGCGTTTTTGCGGTCAAAACAGGCGGCGGCACGACGTAGGGCGGGAGAAAGCCATTCTTTTGGCCTTGTTTCTTCTACCACTCACACCACCACGTCGTGGTCGCGACTCACGCCTTGTTGGTACCGAAACAAGGGCCGAGGTGCTCGGGGTGTTGGTTATTGCGGCAACCGTGAAAAGGATGGGCATTGTGGAGGTCAATGTGGTGCATCCGCGTCTTCGACTCCTCCTGCCGCTGCTTCTGCTGCTGCGGTAAATGGCAGTGTTATTTTTAATTTATCGAGCCCGTTTATGTTACACCCTGAGCAGTACCACGCGACGACACGGGCAGGTGACGGTGTCCGTGTCTTGGAGCTCTTCAAGCATTTACGGCTTATCACACTGGAAGAAAATTGGTTTCGTTACCACATAACCGAAGTGCTGCTACTCCGTCTTCCTTTTTTGGTTCTTGTGTTCATGGTATCATCATTGCTGGTTGCTGGACGGTTTGCGCGCTGCTATGAGTTTTGGGCCTTTGGGGAAACAGATTTGGAGTCTGCGAGACCATCCCATAAAAGTAACGTGATGTACGTACCTCCCTTCTGTAAAGAAGCGGCCTCAGTTCCCATTAGCGACCAGCTCTATGGGAGGCTAGTGCTTTTTGCTGCAGTAAGTGGTGGATTCTTTATGGCACCGCTTGTGTTTGCCGTGCCTGCCTTCATTTTACTGCGTTGTTGGTGGGAACGTTGGCGTTGCATGCGGATGACCGCCTCGCTTGCAAAGCTGATGCAGGTGGATGTGAGGCAGGTTCGTGACGTTGCGCCCAGGCAGCCCCATGGTACGGTGGCGAGCCCCACACTGCCGCTGCTGTGGGACGGAGAAAAGGAAGCGGAAATCATACGAAGCGAAGCAAGAGAAGTGAGCCCTGTTCCACTCGAGGTGCCAGTTGGTATGAATAAAAGCACAACGCTCACGCCAAGTGCAGCGTTGGGTGGATTGGCAGGGGCTCAGTTTTTCATGGCCACCCAGAAAAGCGTCGAAGGACTGAACGCATGGAATACAAACTGCAACGGAACGAGAAAAACAGCGGCCATGGCGTCGACAACGCGGCGGATCAGGAGGCATCGCCACCCCATTTACAATGCGCCGCTTGGCCCATCGCAGTATTATCAGGCTCTGAAGCAGCGAGAAGAGGCAAAAAACACGCCGTCAACAATCACCCACAAATGCTGCAGTGGGCTGCGGTGCATAGTTCAGGTTTCAGTGGAGGCATTCCCGCTGTTAGTGACACTCACGGCTTGGGTGGGAGCCTGGCGCGCGGTGGTTGCACTTGCATATCAGTACGGCATTTGGACAAACTAACCAGAGTAGTTGTGTGGGTGGGTAAAAGAGGAAAATATATATCGCTGCTGGAGGAATTGAAAAGGATTATATTTTTCTTTTTATGCTCACACAAATTTGTTTGTTTATATGACAGTATTGGGTTTAGTTGGATTTAAAAAAAAAAAAAGTTGTGATCTTTTTTCTCTTTTTTCCTTCGTTTTTTTCTTTTTTTTTTTTTTTTCTTTTCTCAGTGCGGTAGGGACGTTATGTTTGGACGGCAGGGGCCCCCTTTCTTTGCTGTTGGGGGGCCTTTGAAGGAATTTTATTTTCTTTTTTTTTTGTGTGTGTGTCTGTGTGTTGTTATTGTTGTCGGTGGTGGTGTTTTTATTCCTCCTTGTGCCATCGCCTCCCGAACAGACAATCGCGCACCCACTCAGACACGACAGACTGAGTGCGTGCCTTGCGGGCGTGCATAAATATGTGAACTGACATGGATCACAGGCACGCCGTACACACTTGTGATGTTCACCCGTCGATGCATGTGCATTTGTAAGTGAGGCATCATTCGTAATTGTACTGGTTTGGCCTTTTTCTTTTTCTTTTTTTTTTTTCTTTTTTCCTGTTCTGGGCTCATGTAACCACCTTTCCGCTGCACGGCTTTGCTGCAAGCTTGGCTGGTGGAACCCATTTATTTATTTATTTATTTATTTATATCTCTGTGTTTGCTTTTATGTGTGTATTTGTGTTTGTGTGTGTGTGTGTGTGAAGTTGCATTTTTTATTTTTCTTTTTATTTATATTCTTCCTTCTTTGCTCTCTGTTTGTTGACGCGTTTAATCCTTTTCTTCCATGTGTATTGGGCACGGGGTTTTTTTCCCCCCCCTCCTGCGTTTCCTTTCCCCCCTTCGCTGTTGGGCCCTTTTGACGCTTCTCTCTCTCCCTCTCTTTGTTTCTGTGTGTGTAACTCCCCGCCCATCTCTATACCTCCGTCTCTTGCCGTTTATGTCGACATGCACGTTGCGAATTAAGGGAGAAGCGAACAGTAGAAAAAAGAGAAGAAAAGAGGAAAATTGGGAGTAAAGCCGTAGGTGGGGAGATGGTTGAGAACGATCTTGGCGTGCGGGAGGCCCTCTCCGCTCCGCCCTTCGCTGCCTTTTGTGAGTTTAGAACGGATGAGCCGCCACGCCGTGGCTGCCTCGCGGCGCTATGCGGCGGCGGCAGTGACATGTCGCAGCGACCCGCACCACCGTCGTTTGAGCAGCATTACAAAAGTCGCCATCCGCTGTTGCCGACGACAGTTGAAGCATACGGTCGATCGGCAGCGGGTGTGGTGGTGGAGCCGAGTCACCTCCGCAACCCCGTGGCACTGGAGAAGACGATGCACTTTCTTGTCCATCACTACCTCCGCGACCCGCACACACCAGCGGTGTTTCTCGCGCCCTTCGATGTATGGCGGTACTTGTGGGACCGCATGCGGCAGGTGCGGACGAATTGGGTGCCGCAGCTGCCGCCGGTGGGGACGCAGTCGCTTAGTAGCCATGACTACGCCGATGGTGTCTTGCCAGCCTCCGTACGGGAGTCAAAAAGACGGCTCAAGTGGTTGGAGTTCACCGTCACAGCACTCGCGGTTGGCGGGGCAAATTTGTGCCGCACGGTGCAGGGCTGCGGACGATACATGGCGGACAAGCAGAACTTTCTCGAGTCCATCGCCCAGTGTTTCAGTGATTTGGTCTTGTCATATCGCGCGGAGCAGCGGCTGCGAAATTCGGAGATGTTCTCCGCCATTCTTCTCTTCTACGGCCTCTCGCAGCTCACGAAGGTGGAGAATCGGGCGGGGTTTTGTCAAGTCATTGAGGTGCAGGTTGCGGCTGAGGGCCCTCCAACGCATGTATTTGAGCCTCCCTCAAGCAGCGTTGACTTTGGCAGTGTCTATCGTGAGTTAGCGTTCCTGCCACAGATGGCCCGTACGCGACATGTGCGGACGGTGCTGAAGCTCATTCATAGTTGGTGCCAGCGCGAATGGTTTCGTTTTTTTCATCTCTGCCGCACCGAGCCGCTCACAGTACTGCAACGGGCGATGGTATTTCATTCCTTCTCTTACGCTCGTTTTAGGGCCGTGGTTGATCTCGTGACGGCGAACTCGGTTGTATACGGCAGGGCGCGTCTTCGGGGTGAGATGGCGATTGCGGACCTGGCCGATCTTTTGCTGATGGAGGAGATCCATTGTGTGGACCTGCTCGAGACGATGGGCCTTGGTGCGCAGTTAAGTGAAGACCGTACTATCCTGCGTGTCGCACGGCCGGACTCCTCACCGTACATTACGCAAGAGGCCATCTACCGCCATTTGGAAGACACCAGCGGGAAACCACGCCTGTGCCTACCGACACTGCCGTCGTTCTTTGGGTTTACCGTCTGGCGACATGCGTTTGAGTTATTCCCGGATGCCTTTGGGGATGATCCTATCGCGACACACGGGGATCTTTCTGTCATGACATGTCCTGTGAATCTTATGCGGTTACTGGAGCCATACTGTCCTCCATACAATGATGATGTCGCCGCTCTGGAGTTGACGGACGCGGGAGATGAGTGGTTTGCTGGCGTGCAGGCAGCGCGGGAGCGAATGTTGACATGGTATGCCTTGCACATGTCTTCACACGGTCGCAGGTATACTACAGAGGATGAAAAAGATGAAGATCATGATGAAGACGACGGGGAGGATACCAGCGAAGGCAGTCTTTTTGTGAGTGACAAAAGAAAAGGGCTTTCTCAGGAGCAACTGAAAGCAGTTGTGCAGGCGATGGACCAGGAGAGCCAGTCCACGCACAGCTCTGTCTTCAATGATGATGCCGGCAGCGATCGTGAGGGGGATGATGACAACGCGGAGTTAGTGGAGGACGAACCGGAAGAAGTGATGGGAACATCAGGGGATACGGAACACGACGCTCTGGAGGAAAACGATGAGGCGGTCCGTGCCGCCAAGGCGCTGTTGGCTTCACTTCATAGCGATGCCATTTACGCCAAGATAGAGAAGGAGTTGCAGGCAATGGCGAAAGATGAAGCCAGTGTGGCGACCTCAGGGAATGCACCGCTAAACACGGCAGCACCTTCCCAATACAGCAGTGATGCCAACAGGCTCAACATCACGAATGAAAAGGATGATAAGACTAATAATAATAATAATAATAATAATAATGACATGGTGACGCTGAACTTGGAGCGGGCGTCAGGACCCCAGCACACTGCTGGGCCGTGGTTGAGTCTGCCGCCGCCGGAGTTCACTGTTTGTGTGTCGCCATTGCCGACGGATTACCCTGGCGAGATGTCACCAAATCTGCGGGCCATTGTTGAAACGCCGAAGAGCCTGACGACGGCCCCGGCTGATTTAGAGGAGGCGCCACTTCTCCATGAGGATGTTGGCGTGAGCCGGGCAGCGGGGGCCGCGGAAAGCCGCGGAGACGTGTCGCCAAAACCCCCGTTACCAACAAAGAAGGCAACCGCATCCTTCCCGTCATTTCCGCCTCTTCCTGGCGGCCTCCACGCCGTGTCATTTGGCGCCTCGCATGCGCCGCAGGAGATGTCGGTGGGCGAGACGGACCAGCCAAGGGCGAAGCGGCAACGCGGGGAGGCCGCGCCCAGTCGTGACGACGTATCGTCATCAAAGCCACCCGCATTCTTTTCACTGCAGCCTCCTCGAGAAGAAGGAGCGGGAAAACAAAGCCAGCCGCTACAGTCAGGGCAATCGGACGATGCGAGCAGCTTTCGCTTTTCTTCTTTGGAAAATTCTCAGGTACTTCTGCCATTCGAGGAGGAGGAACGGCGGCGGCAGCAGATTGGGAATTCTGCTGCGATGCAATCGCAGCCACCACGTCATCGAGCCCGCATGGAAGTTTTGCCGCAAGAGTCGCTGCCTGAAGTTCATGGCATGCGAAAGGTGACATTCGTGACGTCACCCGCCGCCCCTTCGGAGTTACCCCAGCCGTCGACAACAAAGTCGGCAGGAAACAAACCGCGTGCGCCTTCGTACCGAGACACCGTCCGCGCATGCCTGAACCGTCAGCGCAAGGTGTCGGCGGAGCCCGACGGACTCGTCTCTTTTTTTCGGACCTCATGGCTGACTCAAAAACAGCAGCAGCCGTTGCTTTCCGCATCAACTTTGGGTGAGCCGGTCGTGTCGGGTGGCAAGAATGAGCCGCGTTGGATGTATGCCTTCATGAGTTACCTGCTCGAATTCTTCACAGCCTCTTACGAAGATGCGGTGGCCTGTCGATTTCTCTCCGAGGTTCTTTGCGGCGACCCCGAGGCGCGGGCACGAGGAGTTGCTGGGTGGTTCTGTCGTGGTTTCACACCCACCATAGTGCCCTGCATGCCTCAACATTTTCCAAGTGGAGCAGTGAAGCCGAGAGCGCCGATGCTGCAACTCGCTTCAACGGTAATTGTTTTTGGGAGTGGCATGCGTGACGATTGCACGGACGACGCCGGTCTTTTCTTTTGGCGCCACTCCGTTTCTCGTGCCTCGTTGCTAGGGAGTCGCCGTGCGTCGGCGTCCATGCGTAATTTTGCTGCAGAGGATGCGTTCTACTCAGCATCAGCGATGTGGCCGCTCTCTCTGGGACGTTGGGTCGCGGCGTTGTTGTTGCCTCAAGGAGAAGGGGCCTCTTTACTCGCAAGGGATACTTTGTACAGTGTGGAGAAAAAGGACGAGGATTATGATGATGACGATGAAATTGAGGGAGGGAAGGACAGTAATCATGGGGGAGAGTTGGTTGGTCTGTGGGAGCAGCTCCATTTCGTGCAAATGTCCACAGCGTCGCACCTGACACCGGCAGCAGAATGGAGTCGACAGCCCTCTTCTCAGCTTGATGCCACACAAGAAGCAGCCGCGTGGTGTTGTTCACGTCAACATTCGGTTGCGTTTCAGACCCAACTTGCTCTGTATGGTATTGACTACCGTGACACGCCGCTGCTTCGATGGATGTCGGGGGAAAAGGAGGAGAAAGAGAAGGAGGAGGGGGAAAGCTCCACATCAACGCAACGGCCTGTTGAGAACATCACCGCCGTAATTACGCTTGACACCTCGAACTGTGAGGAGTACGAGGAGGGACTGTGCACACTGCGGTTGTTGATACGACAGGCGGTCGAGAAGCGGACCATTTTTCTTTCCGGCGTACTCATTGTGTTGTACACCCCCTCTGAGAAGGAAGAAATGAGACTGCAGCAGGCAGTAGAAAAGATGTTCTGGACGACATGGCAGCAATGCGCAGAGCAGACAGCTGCACCGATGAGGAGGGGGAGTAAGACGAGGGAAGAGGTGACGACGTGGCGTAGCGAGTACCAACGCACCATGCGCCGATCGGTGGGTAGTGTGAAAAAAAAGCTGCAAACGAATTCCCCTACGTGCAACACTTGCGTGAAGCGGCCACGCGGCATCCAAAGCAACGGCAAGCACACGACGCGGAACACGTTCAGTGGGTTTTTTACTCGTGGGGATAAAAAAGATGAATTTCCTTCCACGGTGTGTGCGGAAGAAATTTTTGCTTTTGACGCAACACCGTCTTATCCGCCAAGCCCCATCCTTGTCGTTTTACCCATTCGCACCGCGGTGGAGAACGGGACACGGGAGGATCGCGTCGGCCAGGATAAACACGCCACCAGGGATGTAACCGGTGGTGAGTTCGCGGCGAATAACGCGGAGGTGCTGCGGATGGCGCTGCTGCAAGCCATCAACAGTTTACTGCAGGGTTATGAGGCGAAGTGGAAAGAGTTCCTTCGGCAGAATGACATGGGCGCGAGGGAGACGGTCTTGCGCGTGAATTAAGAGCAGAGACGAAGGGTGGAATCCAATAGAATGGGAGTAAAGGCGGAGAAATGGCCATTTTTTGTGTAATACACGTGTGTGTGTGTGTGTGTGTGTGTGCTTGTGTGTGGCGTGTTGGCATTGAATTTAAATGCACTTTTTAGATTGGTCTGCATGCCTATTTTGTGTATTACCCCTTTTTCCCTCTTTATTCCTTCCTCTCTTCTAGTAGTGTTTGGAGTGATGGTGTATTTTTTAGCGAGGGATGTTGCATTGTGCCTTCTGCTTGATCAATACGGCGATCCTACTGTTGTGCGAAAGTTTGTTGAGGAAAGTTGGCGGGCGCTGCAGGAGAGTCAGCCTCCATCACAGCTCCAGTACGCCCTTTGGCTCTATCACCGTGTTGCCAAGGAGGTTCAGGCGGACGGTGCCACCACTTTATCCACATGTCACTTGAATAATGACGACAGTCATCATGGAAAAGGGGACGACGAGGGACGATTGGCCTCGATGGCTTTGAGGATTCAAGCAGGCACGCCGCTATCAAACGCTGTAGAGCGGCTCACCGTGCAGAATGTCATTCAATGGCTTAAGAGCATGCCGCCATCTCCCTCATCATTGCCCCGCTTTGGAAGGAGTAACAATGAGGACAAGCATACGGACGGTGGTGTTGACATGCGGTGTGAGACGGTGGAGCAGCTTTGGGTGTCAAAGCGTCTTCTTAGGCTAGTGCGTCGTGCCGTTGGAATGCAACTGCGGCATGTACTGCCACCGTCGAAGTCCACAGATGTGAGGCCGGGGGAAAAACATCACGGTTGTGCCAACAATAACAACAAAAGTACTGAGGAGGAAGAGGAGGAGGATATTTTTAGACATGATTTTGCTGTGCTTGTACCGGTGCATGTATGCCGCTGCATCCAAGGCCTTTCGCTGCGTCAAGTCGTTGCGTTGTGTTCTGTACAGATTGCGGCTGTCCCACGGAGCGACAAGAACGCCACCACCACCACCACTACCACAAGCAGCAGCAGCAGCAGCGGCGACGAGAAAAAAAACTTCTCTCGCAGCTCCGCCTCGTCCCTGGGTCTTATCATCAACCCTGCTGTGTCGCCCAGTGATAACCCGCACCGCAAAGAAAAGAACAGACGCATTGAAAGTATTCAGCATGCCATGATGTCACAACACTATCAGGACATGATGCGAACAGGTAGCCGCAGTGATTCCACGCATGGCTCTGCCCTTCAGCAAGAGAAACAGAAGGAATCCTTTGCAAGCTTTTTGCGTGATGCCTCCATTGGGTTTGATATGCAAATTATGGCGCTCTCTGGTGGGGCAGCCGGGTACTACTTGGCGCACATGCGTGGACTCCCCGCACATGTATGCATCGTGTGTGGTGCCATTGGACTACTTTTCATGCTTCTTGTAGACGCCGTTCTCTTCACGTTGCGCATTGGGAGAATGGACGCGCAGACAAGAAAGGAAAAAAGTCGGCGTTGGAAGCAACTGCGAAAGCAGCACAACGGTTGGACTCAACGGAGAGAAGAATCCGAGAAGTTGACTGGCGATGGGGGTGATGACGCGGACACCGTTATGCGTGAGAAGAAAAACAACTAAGAGACATCGGACATGCACATAAGAAGAAGAAGAAGATGATGATGAAATGAAAAAAAAAAAAAAAGGAAAACATATTTTTGTTGCTTTTTATGTGCCCTCTTTGGTGAAACCCCCGAAGGGCATGTGTGATGTTTCCCCAACTTTCTTCTTTTTTTTTTTTTCTTTTAAAGTCTGTTTAGGGGAACAAAAATAAGAAAAGGAAAAGAGTAAAAATATAAAAAGAAAACGCTTAAGGGATTTGTTGTTGCTGCTTTGTTTTTGTTGTTGTTTTTTGTTCTGTGCGTGTGTTGAGGAGTGCGGGGAAAAGCACGCACGCACAGACCGATTCAATGAGTCGACGGGTGTCGACGCCCGTGTGCACCCAAAGGAATACACGAGGGGAGAGGGATGAGGACGTGGGAGACGGCTTCCGTTTGCAAGAAAGTGACATGCCGCAGCCGGAGCAAACGTCCTCTGCGGTGCCCCGCGATCGGTTTCTTTTGCTGCTGGAGGTTGATGTACTGGAGGCCGTCGAGGGTGCAAGGACTGATGCGGGGTATCTGCGCCATTGGCAACATATACGTGGAGCCGGTCTGGGGCCATTTTTGTTTCTGTGTGCTAGCTGCACAATGAAGGGGAGCGGCGGCCTTCAATTTGTCGTTGAGCGGCCAGTCGACATGTCATTGCCGCATCTAGTGAAGCGACTCACTAGGCAGTCGGGTGGGGGGAATCAAGACCGTCCATCGCTGCGACTGCGGTGCGTGCAATCTATACCGCTGCGTCCAAAACAACACGAGCCGCCGCTGAGGGAAGTGGTGGAGGGACCGTCACTGTTTGTGACAAAGGAGAATGTCGTGAACGCGTCGCCTGTCACTGTTCCAGCAGAGACAGACAGCAGCGGAGAAGTGGAAGAAGAGGACGGAGTAGTCAAAGATGTGGAGGAGGAAGCGTTTCTGCTCTCGTTGCTTCGACAGACGTCTGTGTGGAATGTAGCACTCCTGGAGCGCTGTGGGATTCTGACAAGCAGCGGGGGTTCGCCATGTCCGGAATGGAGCAATTGGAGTTGTGTGGACATGGCTGTACGGGCGGTGCGGTACCTGCAGCAAGCCACATGTACACGACCGCAGCATGAAAGGGCTATTGACATCGTTGGGATGATTGTGGAGTGGGCGTCCGTAATGCATGCCGCCCTTGTGGTGCACCCACGTCCAGAAAGTCACGTGAGCCAGGCAGGAGCAGGTGCGGTTGCCGAGGAGGTTTTCTCTCGGGTGCCTCCAGAGATAACGCCGGCGCAAAAATATCCCACGAAGAACGAAAAAAGCCCGGCTCCGCATGATGACAGTTTGGTGACACCCGGACGCATGACACCTCCACGCCCACTGCTTCCATCAAGCCTTGCCTCCGTGCAATTTCCTGCTAGCGCCACGAAGAACCGAAGTGGAAGTCGGGGGAGCGGGGCCAGCGTAGAAACGGAGAAGACGATCAGGGAGGCGGTACCCCTGCAGACTCATGGCAATACCTCCACTCCGCTGGAAATGAAAAGGAGATTGACGACGGCAGTGAAGGAGCATGATATGCCGTTCATGTCTGTTTGCAGCGAAGTGCTTGAGGCGGCCTTTCAACTTCAGCAAAGCCATGTACAATCCAAGCGATCTCATTTCAGAAACTCCGACGCCGGGGAGAGGGTGGATGGAGAAGACGGCCATTCTGCGGATGCGGATGCCGGTGTTGTCTCCGGCAGGGAATCATCGCCTGCTAGCTGCGGTGGTATGTTTGGTACGGTGGCAACGAGCCAAATGGAGCCTTCAGAAGGTTGCGGTCAGCCGCCGTGTAGCACACCTGGCAATGATGCCAGTGATGGGAGCGGCTTTCTCCCATCGCTGATTCATCGTCTAGTTTCAATACGCCACACCTCCTCGAATGGGCGTGTTGCTGGTCAACTCTCGAGGATTGCAAAGGGGGACTTTTTCCCGAGCCGCGGGATGTTAGATAAGGAGGATCTACTCCGTCAACGTCTTGGTAAAACCATCATTGTGCGATTCTATGACCTGGACCCACAAAGGCCACAGCAACAGCACCAGCCGTGCTTACATGAAAACAACACAGCACAATTGGGTTTGTCTGCGTCGTCGATAGCCGCTGGATTTTTTAATAACACGGGCCACCCTTGTTACTTGTTTATTACACACACCGACATCATACTGGCCAGCGTGTTTGATGACAACTACCCGCCTCAATCGTGGGCTGCCACCAACCGGAACAATACGGCAGTCGATGCTTTTAACAGCGAAAGTCGTAGCAGTAGTGGTGGTGGTAGTTCTGCTAGTAGTGGTAGTAGTAGTAGTAGTAGGAGGAGGAGGAGCATGAATAACAGTAATGGTAATAATAGTACTAGTAGTGGCGGTGGTGGAAACAACAGGGGTAGGGATAATACATTGGACGATGGCACGATTTACATGAAACATATGCTAGTGATTCCACGCGTCTCATTGATGGAAATTTGGCGACCTCTCACTGCTACTGACGCAAGTATGGCGACCGTACTGCGGCTTCAGACACGTTCCTGCCGCCGTGTTTGGCTGGCATTCCAGGAAGAAAACGAGTTACGACGGGTGTGCACGGAACTTAACAGCGGGTTGAATGCATCGTTTGGCAATCTTTTTTTGGCCAGTGCGCAGAGGAAATGGCGTATGACCGCCCTCGCCCTCGTTGCTGGCGATGTGTTACCTTCCCCACACACGCCGTTCTATCAGCAGGTGCTACAAAACCTCCTTGTTGCCTTTGCGGATGTGGAATCCCGCCGGGAACACCGATCCACGGCCTCGTCCGAGCAGCCCTCCGCCACGGATGGCACAGAGGTCACCCCACCACTGGAGGAGGAGAAAGCCGAGGTACGTCAGGGGGAGCTGAAGACGTTATTTCACTTCTGGTGGTTATACTCCCCAATGAGAGAGTACATGCGTCAGGGCATTCCCACACGACAATGGCGCCTATCATGTGTGAACAGTCGTTACGATCACTTTTCTTCATATCCTGCGACGTTTGTCGTGCCGAGTTCTTTAGACGATGACGAGTTGGTTCAGTCGGCGGATCTGCGGGCTCGCGGTAGGGTGGAAGCGCTTTCTTACTACTATTTGAACACTGGGGCTGGAATTGTTCGTGCGGCGCAGCCAGCTGCCGTCAATATTTGTGCGTCCGCATCTAAAATAGACGTCCTTAAATCGTATCGGCGTGCAAGTGGCATGCGGGTGTGTACTTTTGATCTCCGCAGCCGAATACGCGCGTATGCGAACACAATTGTTGGCGGAGGCTTCCGAATCATGGAGACAGGACGGTACTGCTCTCTTGCAAACATTCATACCGTGCGAGAGGCATATGAGGCACTTTCTGCAGCAGTGTTGGACAACAACCCAACGTTTCTTGCTGTTATGCGGGCTGCAGGTAACATGGCGACATCACGGAAAGATAATACTGCACCGACGACGTCGCCTGTTGGCTTGTCCACGGTTGAATCACCGGAAAAGGCCGCAGCGGCTTGGATTGAACACATTCATGGTCTTCTCCGCACTGCTACGGATGCGGCACGTCTCATAGCGGGTGTTTCTGAGGAAGATGCGCTTCCGCCTGCCGCCACCGGCGCCGCAGCTGGTGGCGCCCCGCTGAACATTATGCATTCACTCGGGAGCGTGTCGGCCAATGGATTTAATTCCGCTGGCATGAACGTTGGCGGCCTCAATGATCGTTTCATACCACGTTCTTCCACACTCTATGTCTGGAGACGTGCATTTAGGCCTATTCCATTCCGTACGGGCAGCGGTAGTAGTGGTGCTGCTGCTGCTGGTGCACCGCGATGGTTGGAACAACAGCAGCAGAATGTGCAGTCACCGCCGTCATATACGCAACCGGATAACCGCAAAAATGCGCGGCTTGTTATTGTCAACTGCTCCGATGGCTGGGATCGCACCACGCAGGTGTGTGCACTGACGGAGCTTCTTCTTGATCCCTATTTTCGTACCGTGGAGGGATTTATTACGCTGCTGGAGAAGGAGTTTGTGTCATTTGGACACCCCTGTCTTCTGCGTTCCTCGACGTTGGGGAGTCACAGTGATTGGAGCACCGGGGCGACCGTGACGGATGGGGGTTTTATCGACATCCATGACAGTTGCAGGATTCCTACCTCGGAGAATTGTCAAAGTTCGCCCATTATTTTACAGTTTCTGGATGCCGTCCATCAGCTGCTACGTTTGTATCCGCACTGTTTTGAGTTCACAGAAGCCTTTTTGCTGTTGATTGTGGACCTCATGCATGCAGGCATTGTTGGGACATTTGCGGTCAACTGTGAGGCCGATGTGTATCGGTGGGGTATCGAGCAACAGACCCTTTCACTCAGTCAGTTCTTTGCCGTGCTATTCGCCACGACAATTCGAACGGACAGGCATCAGCCTCTGGAAGCCGCCAATGACGGCGAGAATTGTCATGATGTGCTGGAGGAGGGGGAAGAACAGGAGGAACAGGAGCCAACAGAGACTGGTTTATTTTCATCCTCTGCCGTGCCACTGCATTGCTTCTACCAGTCATGCGGCGGTGGGACGGCGTTGGGGGCTGTTGGGTGGGACTCCACTCCTGGCAGCAACCCACGCCGTATGGCGATGACATACGACGCGATCCACCACTCCGGCCTTTTAAACCCACACTTTTCCCTTGCCGATAACAAACTCTTTTTCGGTCCTCTTCTGGACGTCGTGCGGCAGCCGCAGCTGCAGTTGTGGGAACGATTCTTTTTGCGCCACAACTTTTGGTGTGAGCGGGCAGCCAAAATAAGTCAATTTAGTGAGCAGAGTGCATCCACAGTGCATGCAAGGGTCGTGGAATCGACGATGGCGACGACGATGCCTCACTCCGCGCAACCTTTGCTGGAGACGGGACCGATGCAGCACCCAGCGACGGGGGAGAGAAGAAGACCGTGTACGAATCCCACAGTTCTCATGAAACCAACGGACCTGAGCGAGTTCTCTTCCCTTAACAAGGCGCAAGGAACTGTCACCCTTTCGTTGGTGTCCAACATGAAAAGAAAGGCGATTGGTGAGGGCATATTTACTCCGCCCGCGCGACTGACACCAAATAGCACGATTTTGCCTGGGGGGCGATCAGAAGCATCCAGAAGCGGGAATCAATTTGCCCCATGCACAGTTCCTCGATCCGCCTCGCATGGGTCGCTGGCCGCCTTTTCTTCTTCTTCCTCCTCCTTTGTCGGCATGCAGCCACAAGAGCACCACCAGAAGCAGTCACCATCGTCGTTTCTCCAGCGAGGTGCTTCAGGTCCCGTCATTACTGGGGGATACACGATGAACGGTCATTATAATTCTTTTCTCGGTGGAGGAATGACAAAGCGACAATCACCGATGAAGCCGTCGAATAACGTCGAGTTTGTTGCATCGCCTTGCGTTAGCAGCACGGAAGGGACGCGGCATGCGCAGCAGAAATCGGCCTCCAGTGAACCGTCCGGAGCTCAGGTGCGAACCTACAACACACTGCTTAGTATGCTTGACCAGGCCTTTGAATAACCCATGGCTAGTGCCTATGTATACGTCCCTGCATTTGTTGACTTGGCTTAGTTTTTATTGATTCTCCAGTTTAATTATTTATTGAGGTCATATCTCATGTTGTTATTATTATTATTTGGATGACCATTCACGTACAATTCCTTGTTTGACTGCTTGAAATGTTTTTCTTTTGATTTTTTGTTTTTTTTGTTGTTTTTTTTGGTATCGTTGGTTTGTTTGTTTTTTGGCTTTTTCTGACTTGACGTGTGTCGTCCAATTTGGAGTGTGACGGAGATGTGAAATGCCGCTGTGAATGTACGGAGAAGAGTTTTTTTTTAAATATATTTATATTTATTTAAAAGGAAAAAAAAAAGGAGGAAAAAATGAAAAAACGCACTTCATTCCATTGCGCATTGATGTTCCATGCAACAGAGTAATTGAGTAAAGGTGGAGGGTTTTTACTACGCGTAGATGTTTGGTTATAAATATATATATATATTTATATATGACGGTTGGAGTGCTCCTTGTATTAGCCGATGCATGAAAGAATAGACATGTCATTGCCATGCATGCACACTAAAAGAATGATGTTCTTTACCCCCCCCCCCCCC